TTCATCCTCTCCTCCCCTCCCCATTTACAAACACTTTATTTCCATTTTTTTCAGTTGCCTTTTATTTGGACGAATAAATGTCTTATTACTGTTTGTCTTTATGAATATCTGGTCATTTTTCTTGAGCAACTATGAAATGGTTTGTGTGTGTGTGTGTTTGTATACTGGGGATTGAACCCAGGGCCTTTGCATTGAGCGACATCTGAGCTGACCTTTTGTTTTTTATTGTGTGATGGGGTCTTGCTAAGCTGCTAAGTTACTCAGGAGGACTCAAACTTGAGACCCTCCTGCCTCAGCTGACCTGTCTTGATAGTTGCTGTGGGATAGCTTCCTTAGAGGCTTACTCCACTAACACTCCGTGTCATGCCTTTGCTAACCCTTCTGATATATTTTCTAAAATCGCAATCAGTGTTTGATCAATTGTAATCAGTTTTGATGAAGGAGGACTTTTCTTCACACATTTATTGGCCACTGGCTTACTATGTTCTGTGAAGCACTTTCATCTCTCTCTTGACTTACTAATTTTAGCCAGTATTATTGGCTTTTTTGGTCAAAATGAAAAATTTAATACGCTTTTGATATCTCTTTTGCCCTCTGTTTTTGTTATTTACATATTTTAGCTCTTCAATTAATAGATTTTACATCAGAAGACTAATCTAATCATACCTTTATCCATTTTCAACTTTGGGCTGCATGTATTGACTCTCTACGAAGAAAGATAAGTTAAGATTTTAAATGTTTTCATTATATTTTTCTTTCTAAGCTGGAGGTCTATTATTTGTTTTCATGTTGTAAACTCTTGTACTCTAAATTCAATTAATCCTTTATGCTTTGCTACAGTTGATCCTCAGAATTAAAAACCAGTAAGGGGTTTGGATAACAGGTTCCAAGCACAGTCAGGGAGAAGGAGCAAGTTCTGGGGCTCTGCACACATCGGGGCGAGTGTAGATCACAGCGCCCATTGCATATTTTAGGAGAATCTAGAGGAGAGAAGATCAGAGACACCAAACACAAGGAAACAATGAGACAGACCTGGCAGTGACCTTGATTTTACTAGTGTGGTTATGCACGGGCTGAAATATCTCCCTGTGCCCCATGAATATATACAACTAATACGTGTTAATGTGTAAAGAGACTCACATTGGAGAAACAGTGAGGAGCATTAATGTAGTGCATAAAACAGACATCACAGAACAAAGCATTGCAGATGTGTTTGTGGCCGCAGAGGAGGAGTAATGGTGCATGACTGAGCATTGCTTCCTAACTCCTGTCCCTGGAGACACCTAGTGTAGTCTCACCCTGTCTCTCTGACCGCCAGCTCAGTTCTGGTTTACCGGTTGTGCATCCACTGAACTGTACAGCTTTGGCAGTGAGTGTGTGTTGCCAAGGCCTCTTACATCTGACTGTCGTTCCCACGCAGCCTCTCTGTTGCATCGTGGCTCGAGTGCCCTTCCTTGTCCCTCTGAGGCAGAACCTGCTGCCGGCATGGCCTCTCCTGCTGGGCATCTGCCACCTGCTCCTCTGGGCCTGGACGTGTAAGCTCTGTGCTCCCATCGCGCGTGACTCCTCCTCCACCACGCGCGCTGGTCTGGGTCCTGTGGGTCCTAAATCCAGGCAAGGTGGAGCTGCAGCCCAGAGTTGCCTGCAGGCTGTGGTTGTGGTGGTGGCCGGGTCCGTGGTCTCCTCTGAACCCACCCCTGAGACCCTGGGTGCTGTGGGTGTCATCGGGGGTCACTGCCTCACTGTGCTCTGCGTGCCTCACCTGCCCCAGCATGCAGGTGCAGTCCAGCAAACAGCAGCAGAAGGCGATGAGCCAGAAGCCAGTGCTCCTGTGGATAAAGCTGGAAGCCCAGCCACGCCTGGCTGTTTGTGTTCTTGCGTGAGTCCTGCTGACTTGTTTCACAGTGAAAGTGACCCAGCAGACTTCACCACGGCCTCCTAATACCTTTCCTTCTTTGGCTCTCCTCACATCTGCCAAGAAGGTCTGAATAAACTCATGCTCTCCCTCCCCCAGTGCAGCTCCCCCCTAAGGAGCCTTCTTCTCTAGGGAGGGCAAGCCTTGGACCGTGACCTGGGTGCCCTTTGTGTCTTTATTTTGGGGTGTGCAGAGGGGTGTCTTAAAGAGACACAGTGCTGACACCCACGACTTCAGAGGAGACGTTTGCTGGGGCTCCTGGTTCAGCTCATGGCTCCAGGCAGGGCACAGCAGAGGGGCCTGGTGGAGGAGCGCTCCGCAGGGCACGGTGGACGGGAAGTAGAGAGTGGGGAGGAGCCGGGAGGGGACGCGCTCTGCCAGGCCAGGCCGTGCCCCAGGGACCACCTCTTCCCACCTTCTCACAGCAAGCCAGCTGTGAGCCCCGAAAGCCACCGCCTTCTGAAGGTGCCACCTGTGAAGTGTACCCATGCTGCCTCCGCTTCGGTCTGGGTTTGGTGGCACGTCGGGGCCTCTCGGCGGGGACATTTCAGCAAGCACCACAGCCTGGACGTCTGTCTTGCGGTTCCCACCAAGCTAGTTCTGCTGAGTTATTTTTCTTCATGAAATTTCACAAAATGCCCAGTATGTTGGTGGCCTAATTTCCTGTTTGCTGGTGCTGTTGACCCTTGCATTCTTTAAACAGAAGGCGTTTTCCTAGCACAGCAGTGGGAACTGGGACATGGAGCGGGTGGGGTGGGGATGTAGCCATAGGAACTCAGCCTCATACCCTACACTGGACTTGCCTTTTTCTTTTTCAGAGAGAAAGCAGAGTACTACTCTGCTGCCTGGTGTGGGTCCAACGAGTTTGTAACAAATCTGGTGTCTTTCTAATAGACTGATGAGAAAGGACACAATCCTATTGTAATGGTGCCTTTTCTTATGCTGTTATTTCTATGCTTTAAAACTCCCCGAAGCATCCTTTTCTGAGGGTCTGCTCTCTCTCCCTCCTCTCACCTATATGTGCTGAGCCCTTCTGTCTTTGGGGGACTCTTCACAACTTGAGTCCTTGCTGCTGGCCCGCTCTCCTCCAACACAGTTAGCTTGGCCCCAGAAGTGCTGGGGTGTTACAGAGACTGCACTCACAGTGGGATTCAGAATGGTTTTAAGATTTTTAAATTGTAAGGAACACAGCCCTATTTCGAGCTGGTTTGGGTTAGAAAGAGAATTTATCAATTCTTGGGGATGTAGCTCAGTGGCACAGTGCCTGCCTTGAGAGCACAAGGTCCTGAGTTGGATCTCTCGTACCAAAAAAAATATAGAAAGAAAGAATTTATCAGAAGGAAACGGCAGAGTCTCACTGAGCCCTGTTCAGATGTTCAGATGTCCCTCGGGGTGGGAACCAAATGTGGAAAGCCCCAGGAGCTCAGGGAGCGTTGTGCTCTGTCCTCGACTTGCCGTCTTGGGTCCTCTCAAAGACTCCCTGTGGCTGCTTTGCCCAGTAGGCAACCATGAGTCATGCCTGAGTCCCAAGTTCATGTCTTCTGCAACCAAGAAACACGGCAGGGGTGGAGCCCTGGATTCTGGCTCAGTTGGGCAGGCTGTGTCTCTGTACCCTTGAGAGCTCTAAAAGGTTTGCCATCCCTGGTCTGGCTTGCAGTCAAGGATGTGAACTTTGGGCCCAACAGACCTCGGTTTGAATCCTAGCTCTGCCACCTACTTCCTGCATGGCCTGGGTCTAAGAAAGAATCTTCGAAGACCAGATTCTTTCTGCTCTGTGCTGTTCTGTCTCTGGGTGCTGGAAGGCTGGACAAGACAATGTTCGGTACATGTTAGGCACTCAGTACATAATAACTATCGATTACTGCATCACCATGCCATTTGGGAAAGATCATAGGCCCAGAGGAATGTGCATGCTACCACTCCAAAGAGTACAAGAAGATCTGGAAGCACAAGTCAAATACTCCAGAATCGCATTTTCAGTACACACTAAGAGTGGGTTTTGTCTTTACCACACTTGGCCAAAGCAGTAGCCATGAGTCAGCCTGCCAGAGGTAGGGCCTAGGGAGTCTAAACTCGCTTCCAGTGTGTGTGTTGTCCTGCTGGTTCTGGAAAGAGTCACGGTCACAGCAGTTCCTTTGAGTCAGTGCCTGTCTTGTGGTTGCTGGGTCCTTTCTGTGTGCGGTAGCTGCTCGACCAGCTAACACCATACATGGTGAAACATTTTGAAGGCCACGCTGGAAGCCCTGTGTTGTCTTTGGGAGACTGTAATATTGATAATGCCCAAAGCAGGCTGTGAAGAGTGAACTCCACAACTGGCTCCTTTACAGAAGTGAGTCCGGCTGAAGTCTGTGTGCCAAGGTCAGAGTAGCTCTTACCCAGATTCCTCTCTCACACCACAATGTTCTGGTTTACAGCCATGTATTTTGTCTGTTCTTTCCTCATTCGAGAATGCTTCCTCTTGTCCTTTACAAGCCTTGCTTACATTAATTTCCATAGAAACCGCATGGCTGTGCATCCTTACCGTAGCTCTGCCCTTGCGCTAACCCGCCTTTACCCCAGTCGATCACCAGTAAAAATCAGTGGCTTGGACCCGCCAGAGCCTTTATCAGTTGCACCTGCATTGGTCAGTGTGGCCCCCTGCTTTGTATCACTCTTAGGTCTGTCTTTTAGTGTTTTTTCCCCCTCAGGCCTTTGTTGTACACTGGGCGGAGACTTTAGCCTACTGCAGGTTTCCAGTGACATTTCAGGGGTCCCCAGTAGTAGTCCATTCAGAAGACCTCACTGTTTTGTTAAAGGAGATGTACTGCTTTCTTTTTAAATATTTCCCCTCCTGCTTTTCTTGCTTACCTGTGACCTCACGGGCAGAGGCATGGGTAGGTGAGTTCTTAGTGAAGAATGTCTAGGAGGATGATTCCCATTCGGTGTCTCTGAAGGAAACCCATGTCGGTGGGAGGTGAACTTTATTTGGGAGAGAGCTGGCCGATCGCTGAGGCTCGTGGCCTCTTCCCTGGCCCTGTGTGGGCTCTGCAGGGTGAGACTCCTGCAGCACAGTGTCTCAGGACTGATGGTGTCATTTTCTCCCAAGCTATGCAGACATTTTGATTGAGAGGGAAGTGCTAATGCAGAAGTACATGCACCTCGTTCAGATCGTGGAGACAGAGAAAATCGCCGCTAACCAACTCCGACACCAACTCGAAGACCAGGACACAGAGATCGAGAGGCTGAAATCAGAGGTATTTCCAGTGGTGATCCCTGCTCGCTGTTTCCTGTCTTCTGTCTCTGCCCCACGATTATCTGTTTCATGTCCAGGGATAAACTCGAATCCTGGGCTCAATTGCTGGGCCGTCAACACGCACGGCTGGGCTCCTGACCTAGACCAGAAGCTGCAGTGCCTGTCAGGCTCAGGCAGAGACACTGGAAGACCCTCACTTTCCATTAAGTGCTCTTACTGTCCTCCTTCAGAGCAGAAATTCAAGAGCTGTCTAGAGCCCTTTCCTGTCTTCAGGTCGGCTCTGGGATTAGTAATTGTGATGGTCACCAAGTCCTTGTAGTAAAGATGGACAACTTAGGAAGGGCGAAGTGTGACTGCAGCAGTCCTCTCCTTTGTCCGGAGGCAGCACACGGCTGTGTCCCAGCAGTGCCCGCTGGGCTGGGGTCACCAGCCACACTCCCTGCAGCATTAGGATTGTTACTCCGGCCCAATCCCCAGACCCATGCAGCGGGAACACACTTTCCAGCGCCTGCTTTGAAATGTGGCTTCTTTGTGGATCTCTGGGTTCTTGTGTCCAGGGCAGGTCATTGCCAAGCTGAGGCTCCATCCGACCTTGAATTATCCCTCAGTGGTTGCAGAGCTGAGTGGGAGGTGTACAGTGCGATACAGCCCTCTTGGTCCTTTGTCCCTTCTGCGGAGTCCTTGGGTGGGCTTGGGCCAATGTCCTGCTAACCAGCCCTGGGCACGCTCTCCTGGTCTCCTCTTGTCAGCACTTTGGTTGGGAACTGGGGGTCAAGTTTGTTCTCCTCTACCTTAGCACCCAGGAAGAGAAGTCACAGAAAGGGAAGGGCCCCCAAGACCACTTGTGGGCAGAGCTTCCTGTGGCTGTGGCTCTACCCCGCTGTTCCCTGGGTCGGCACTTACCCGTCCTGTGTTACAGATCATCGCGCTCAATAAAACCAAGGAACGGATGCGCCCTTACCAGAGCAACCAGGAAGAGGAGGACCCAGACATCAAGAAGATTAAAAAGGTAGGATGAGCAGGGCATGATGGTGCACACTTACAAACCCTGCACTCTGGAGGTGGAGGCAGGAAGATCGCAAATTTGAGCCCATTTGGGACAACCTAGCAAGACCCTGCCTCAAAATTAAAAATAAATAAATCAAAAGTGCTGGGGATGTAGCTCAGCGTGAAGACCTGGGTTCAATTCCAGGTAATGAAAAGAAAGAAAGAAAGAAAGAAAGAAAGAAAGAAAGAAAGAAAGAAAGAAAGAAAGAAAGAAAGAAAGAAAGAAAGAAAGAAAGAAAGAAAGAAAGAAAGAAAGAAAAAGAAAAAAAAAAGACACAAGGTGGGCTCTTGAAGGATTCTGCATCTGTGGCCACGTGGTTGACCGGCTCTCTGCTCTGAGATGCCTCTGAACGGTGTCCCAGACGAAACAGCCTTGGTTTTTCTGAGCTGCTGGCTCCCAGACCTGCCCTCTGAGAGACCGGCCTAAGACTCGGGTGAGCTCTGAGCTGCCACTCACTTCCCACATATAGTCACATGGCTTTTCTTTTGTGTGTGTTCTCTTATCTTTCTGTTCTTGTTTTTATTAGCACAGGTTTGTAGTTCACAGTGATTGCTGTCCTCATGGGGGTTTGGCACACGAACGCAGCAATCTGAATATTTTGGGGGAATCAAATTTTTTGAGTTCTTTATGTATTCTGGATATTAGTCCTCTGTCTGAGGAGTACCTGCAACATTTTTTTCGCATTCTGTAGGTTGTCTCTTCACTCTCTTGGCTATTTCCTTTGCTGTGCAGAAGCTTTTTAATTTGATCTGATCCCATTTGTTAACTCTTGGTGTTATTTCTTGTATGATTGCACAGCTTTTCCAAGGATATGCAAGGACTTCTAGTCCACTGCATTTGGATTTATGTGATTTAAACTTTGTCCTGTGATGTTAATTGTCTCATGTAAGACACTCAGCTTTGTATAAAATTTGCAGAAAGCATCATATATAAAGCTCTTTTCTGAGATATACAACTTCACATCTTAATGTTTTCTTATCCCTGTTTTTCTATTTTAAATCATTTCATTTTCATTGTAACAAAACTTTAACCAAATATTGCTTAGAATTTGGAATAGAAATAATTATTAAGATTAAGTTAATATTTTCAGTTTTCAAGAAATAAAAATGCAAAATAACACCATTCTCTTAGAATTTCAAATTTTTATTTGAATCTGGTTTGTAACAAGATTAGTGCTATTTCTTTTCCTTTAACAGTATGCAGTTGGAAGTAAACAAAGATGTAAATAAAAATGCAAAATAACACCATTCTCTTAGAATTTCAAATTTTTATTTGAATCTGGTTTGTTATTATGTTACAAGATTAGTGCTATTTCTTTTCCTTTAACAGTATGCAGTTGGAAGTAAACAAAGATATTAATAAAATTCAATTTTCAGTTTTGTCATAGAAGCTGGTCTGTTAGTAAATAAGTGAAACAGCTACTATTGTTTGCAGAGAACACCTGCCCAAGTGTACAGCGAGATTTTGTTTAGCTCAAAATTTAATTCAGTTGATTTTTGGAAACACTTCTACTAAGTGGAAGAATAATGATAAAATACCTATTTTTAAAAACATTTTCTACCATTTTAATTCTTAATAGAAGTGATTTTAAAATGTGCTTCTGAACTTGTTAAATAGGTTTTGGAATTAACTTTATCGGCTTTTATGTCCCAAATCAAAGTGATGTCTGTGGAAAGGGATGCATTTGCAAATTAATTGCCACTTCTGATCTTGGCAAAACGTAATTTCTTTTCATTTCAAGTGAGTACAACTTGAAGTTGCTTGTAATGCATAGGAATTTTCCATTAGATTTCTCCAAATAATATGCATAGAGTTTCCTCATTTTTTGTGTGTGGGTGTGTGTGGTACTGGGGATTGAACCCAGGGCTTTTCACTAAGCTACATCCCCAGCCCTTTTTATCTTTTCTTTTGAGACAAGGTCTTGCTAAATTCCCTAGGTTGGCCTTGAACTTTCCATCCTCCTGCCTCAGCACCCCCAGAATAGCTGGGATTTCAGGTGTGTACCACCATGCCCAGAAGTTTCCCCATAGAATCTATTAAAATGTGCTTATTTTTAAAAGAGGTAATAAGGTGTTTATTAATTAAAAACTGTTTCATCCAGAGACAGTTAAAATTTATAATTTAAAACCCAATTCCCGAGCCGGGTGTGGTGGCACACACCTGTAATCCCATCACTTGGGAGGCTGAGGCAGGAGGATCACTGCGAGTTTGAGACTAGCCTGGGTTACATAGTGAGTTACAGGTCAGTCTCAACTACACAGTGAGAACTTGTCTCACTGCCCCCGCCCCAAAAAAACAAAAAACAACCCAGTTTCCTACAAAAGGCGTGTGGGGGGGTGATAAAAACTGCAGCATTGACAAAGGACTGAGGCAGAGAAGGAAAATGTGCTTAATTTTTATTGTTGAGGTATAGCAATTTCAGAGCCTGGATGTAAATGGATATATTGTGTCTGCATCTGGAAGGCAGATAAGAGACATTAGACATTGCAAAAGAAGGGAATACATTTAAATACATGATCATGTAGACCGTGTGGAAAATGATATGGAAGAAAAATTTTTTGGGGGGGAACCAGGGATCGAACTTGAGTCCTTGCCCTTGTGTGGCAGGTAGCAGACCATGGAGCTAACCCCCCAGCATGAAAATTTTTCAAAGGAAATGTGGACAACAGCATGCCTAGGACATAGTGAATTAATGCTTTCAACTATTAGTGAATTTGCAGCATCTAATGTGACAAGTCTTAGTTAATTATCATATAATTGTTATGCTTTGAGGAGACTTCATTTTTTTGGTCAGTTATTTTGTAGATAGGGGATGGGGTCAGAGTTCAATGTTACCCTGTTGGTTGGCGCTGGGACCTGTCGTTTAGGGTAATGATACAAAGCCGTCTGGTGAATCACACAGTGCTGTTTCTCAGATTTGCTTGGTTTTTTTTGTTTTTTGTTTTTTTTAAATATATCATAAGTGATTCAGTAAGATCAGTCTTAGAGGCCATGATGTTTCTGCAAAATATCTTTTATACTAAATTACAACTCATGTTCTTTTCCACAAAATAGTCACCACTGCAAGCAGTCTGTGTGTATGTTGTCCATGTGTCTTCACAACTAAGACAAGGCTGGCAAAGAGCTGGGAGTGTGGTCACAGCTGACTCACCTTGAAATTTGGTGTTTGTGTTTGCAGAAGGGAGGGGCTGGGCAAGTCGATCTGCAACACTTACGAAATTTAAAAACCAAGCAAATTCAAGAGCAACACATCAGATACCCGATTTAAGACAGAAAAAGGATTTAAATACACCACTGTACAAAAACCATACACAAATGGCCCATGAACGTATAAAGAGGTGTTCAGCATCGCGGATTGTGACTGGGACACAAATCAAAACCACAGGGAGCTGAAACTCCACGCGGTCAGCACAGCTGATGTCACAGACACAACAGAAAATGATGACGCGTCTGAAGAGCTGTGGAGGATCGGGATATGGTGCAGTGTGGATGGGATATGGCAGAAGCTTTATGGAAAACGGCACCTAAAATATTAACAGTGGCCCTGCCCTGTGATCCAGCAACCCCGCATCCAGCCTAAGGGCCAAAGGGATGAGAAGAGGGCATGGCAGATGTCTGTGCCTGTGGGACACTGACACAGGACGAGGAGGGCACCACTCACTGGGTGGGAGGTGGAAGTCAGTGTGCGCCTGGAACATTGCATTCTGGAAGTGAGGTGATACTGGGACAGCACGCTGGGACAGCCTGGTGTCCAGTGCCGGGAAGCCAGCCCGCGCCCGGGCACACAGGCAGGTCTGGTCGGATCGGGGGCTGTGTGAGGCCATGGAAGTAGTTAAATTCACAGGACGGAGCAGAGTGGCAGAGACCAGACGGAGGGGAGGGGATGGGGCTTGCTGGGTCCTGGGTGTCAAGGTTTAATGTTGCAACCTGAAGCTCTTCCGAGATCTCTTCCCAAGCGGCGGGACGCACTGACTGCTGACCTGAGTACGTGAAAGTCATGAATTGTATACTTAAAAATCTCAAAGGGGTGGATGTGGCTCAGTTACAGCACACTTCCCTCCCGTGCATGAGGCCCTGGGTTCAAAACGAGCTACAAAACATAAAGCACAGTACATTTTTGGTTTTTTTAAAACTACACTTTAAAACATTGTTTAAAAAAGCCTCCATTGTATTCCTTTCTTGAAATGTTATTAATAAATGTGTAGTGTTATTATATTCTAGAGTCTGTATAGACAGGCCTGAAAGCTTAAGGAATAGAAGAATATTGTGAACCTGAGAAAAAAAATACTATTAAAAAAAAATCATCCCTTTTTCTTGCTGTTTGGAGGAAGCCTGCCATTATCTACTGCACCAGTGGACACTGGTGATTCCATAAAAGTTCAATGTATATTTCCCTAGTCCCGAGGACTGAGCCCAGGGTCTTTGCACTGTTTCTGTTTTGACACCGGGTCTCCCTGAATCGCTAAGTTTCCCAGTCTGGGTTTGATCTTGAGATTCTCCTGCCTCAGCCACCATGCCCAGTGTGAGACAGTGAGGCTCAGACCTCCCGGCAACTCTCTCTGTTCCGCAGGTCCAGAGCTTCATGCGAGGCTGGCTGTGCAGGAGGAAGTGGAAGACCATCGTGCAGGACTACATCTGCTCTCCACACGCCGAGAGCATGCGTAAGAGGAACCAGATTGTGTTCGCCATGGTGGAGGCGGAGGCGGAGTATGTGCACCAGCTCCATGTGCTGGTCAATGGCTTTCTGCGGCCCCTGCGCATGGCCGCCAGCTCCAAGAAGCCGCCCATCAGCCATGACGACGTCAGTAGCATTTTCCTCAACAGGTGAGTCCAGAGTCAGGTGAAACCCACCTGTGGTTCTTAAGAGAGTTTCCCTTATTCTCAAAAGGTCAGGCCTCCAGAGTCAGTGTCTGTGGCTCTGAATCGGCAGAGAGAAAGCTGGCACTGCATTGCGCTTGGTCATCAGGCAGCCTGGCTTTCCACCTTCTTCTCGGTTTACTTTGCTGCGTGGCAGATTCCTCTTGTCATCGTGTGGGGTGAGTGTGTGGGAAGAGACGCCACGCCTCAGACACAGAGGGGAAGGAGACATTGAGGGGCCTTGGCATGCAGCTTACATGTGAGCACTTTTAGAAGACTGAAAACTAAGACAGGGCCTCAGAATCCTTGCTGAACTCCGTTGCTATAGCTGCAAGGGACTCTGTGAAATGTACTTCCAGCTCATCACCCTCTCTCTGGAGGGAGGAGGGAACAGACTGAAAGAATAACTCACAGAACTTGACACACTTGGTTTGGTTTAGAGCCTGGAACAACAAAAACTCCTCAGTCAAAATTTCTATGAGAGGGAAACATCACAGTCTCCTAGCTGCACCTACTTTATTTCTAGTTTATTTCATGAACCCATCGGACATAGTGATTAGGCCTTCTTTTGTTTGTTTTAATGGGATTTGACTTGCAACAAGCCAAGGTATCTCACTGAGAGGAGGAAATCTGCGTTTCAAAATTTTCTAAAAGTTATTTTTTATTTTATTAGTACATGTTTGGGGCACATGATGTTTACATTCCCTGTGGGCAGTTTGTGCACGTATACAACACATCTTAATTTCTTTTTTCGTCCCCTTTCCCTCCCCTCCCTCTCTTGTTCCTCTTTTCATTTGAGGAAGATCGGTCTTCCTGCTTCCTAATATCTGTCTTTTATTTTGCCCTTTATTTATAATTAGGGCTTCTCACATCAGAGAGACTGTGTGACATTCAGGCTTATGTGTCTGATTTATTTCACTTAACATTATGGTCTCAAGGTGCATCCGTTTTCTTGCAGACGATTCAGGTTTATCTTTTATGTGACCCATAAATATATGAAGAAATGTTCAATATCACTAGGCAGTAGAGAAAGGCCAATTAAAACAACAGTGAGGTTCCACCTTACTCTGGACATAATGGCTGCCATCAAGAAATCAAATAATAACCATAATAAATTGTTAACAACTGGCAAGGCTATGGGGGGAAAGAGGCACTCTCCTACATAGTTGGTGGGGATGTGAACTAGTATAGCCACGGTGGAAATCAGTGTGGAGATTCCTCAAAAAACTAAAACTAGAAATTCCATTTGATCCAACTACCCCGCTTCTAGGTGTCTTCCTGTAAGAGTTAAAGATGTCGCATTACAGTGACCCATGCTGCACGACTCACGATAGCCAAGTCTTGGAAGCAGCCTGTGTGTCCACCAGCAGATGAATGGATAAAGACAACGTGGTGTTCACACACAAAACAATTCTATTTTTATTTGTGCTAATGCATTAATTCAGAAATTTCAGTAAGGGCTGGTTGCAATGGGTTAATTCTAATAAGAAAGCAAAGGAGATCTTGTCTTTTGTAGCTATCCTTTTTGGCCCCTTTAGAAATGTACACCCCTCATTCAGTTCTCATTTTAGTCGCAGTGTAGGCTTCACTCTTTTCAGCAGATTCTTTTATAGTTCTGTTGAGTGTCTTAGGAGTGGGTACAATGCAGTTCTGTCAAAATTTCTGCTGTGGAATTTCACCCCTCCCATCCTTCTGTCAAAACTCATTTCAGTGCGAGAGGCCTTTTCTTTGAGTTTCCAGAGTTGACTATGAAAAGAAAAGTGATCCTAACCTTAACATTCTGATGATCAGCCCCAGGGTTGCATTTTGACAGCAGAGAGCTCCCTCAGAAGTAGGGGGAGGGTGATACAACCCAGATGTGGTGCTCCAGGGTTTGAAGCTCACCTCAGGCTTTCCTCTGGGCTTTTGAGGCTGTGTGGAAAGAGAAATGGCTTTGTGGAGGCCAGCATGGTCTGCGGTAATCCTGGCTGTACAGTTGGAGCTCTGTCACGTACGCAGAGAGGGATTAAACACTCACTGGACTGCTTTGACAGAATGCTTTGCCATGACCAAATTGCTTTGTTTTTTTTATAGTGAAACAATCATGTTCCTTCATGAAATATTTCATCAAGGACTCAAGGCCAGGATGGTAAACTGGCCCACTTTAATTTTAGGTAAGTGCATTCCTTGCAGCTGGAGTTTGGGCTCCGAGGCCTGCAGCTGGACTGAGATAACCCAGCTGTGCGGCCCGAGCGTCTGACTTTCCCTGGTGACCCCTGGGCTCCCTTCCCTGCAGGAGCCTGTCCAGCAGGTGTCCTCACCCTGCCCAGGCAGTCACCTTAGGACTCTGTCCCCTCACCTGCCTCGGGTCGCCTGGGGCTGTGTTCGGTTCTGCTCCAGGTGCATTCTGCCTGACCTGCCCTTCAGATGTGAGGGGCAGGACCTGTGTGTCACCCCCACTGCCGAGACACCCTCTGCTCTCCCCTTGCAGGCACAGAGTTGACCAAGCACCAAGGGTAATGGCCACGCATGCTTCTGTCTTCCAGCCGATCTGTTTGATATCTTGCTGCCCATGCTGAACATTTACCAGGAATTTGTGCGGAATCACCAGTACAGCCTCCAAGTCCTTGCCAACTGCAAGCAAAATAGAGATTTTGACAAACTCTTAAAGCAGTATGAAGCCAACCCTGCCTGCGAGGGTCGGATGCTGGAGACATTCCTGACCTACCCCATGTTTCAGGTACATCGCTGGGGCTGCATCTGAGTCACGGACACCTGCTTTGGCCACAGAGGGGCATCTGTGGAACGATTCTCAGGCCGAACAGCTGGGTTATCTCAGTCCAGCTGCAGGCCTTGGAGCCCAAACTCCAGCTGCAAGGAGCACTTGTCACCTGCCACGCCCTGTGACACACAGATGGGCCATGCGTGTGCTCTCTGTCCAGTACATGTAAGAAGCCAGGCATCTTTGGACTGTCTTCTCCTCCTCCTTTTCTCTTTCTTTCCTTCCCTCACCCCCTCCTCTCATTTTTTCCTTTCCTCCCACCCTCCCTCCATCCTTTTCTTCCCTCTTTCTTTCTCTTCACAGTACTAGGGATCAAACCCAGAGCCTCTCACATGTTAGGCAAGTGCTCTACCATGGAGCTACCTCCCCAGCCCTGTAAGCAGGCATGTTTGAAGCAAATAAGTCAGGAATGAGTTTTGGAAAAGCAGCACAACTTTCTCTTCATAGAAAGATTCTACCCAGACCTCTTTCATGGAGTCTCCTCCTCCAGCGTGTTTAAAAATATTATTGGGTTTACAGAAATAGGCCTCTGTGCAAATGTTCCAGTGAATGCTGGTTGCATAAATGCTGCCAGAGCCTGGACTAGCTGCCCAGCCCCGGCCACACTCTGCTTCCGAGGACAAAGCCAGGGCCTCGCTGGTGCCCTCGGCAGTGGGTCAGGTAGCCTCTGAGGCAGGGCGGTGTGGAGGATCAGGCCCGCTCCTGTTCATCTCAGTTTCAGGCTTTATGCTGAGAGCTCCATTCGAGAGCCCCAGGACCATGCTCCCCGGGGCTTCTGTTCCCTGCAAAGTGTGGATTCCACTCTCCTGGACTTCATGGGGCTCCTGGCATGGCCTCTGCACTGTCCTGTGGTGACCCGAATCCTGATTATGTGTGTCAGGTTACACACGGCGGCCGGGCAGCCCCGACCCTGGCTCGCTGTGTCCTAGAAGCGCTGCTGGGGCTCCTGATGGGCTTAGGTCTGTCAGTCCGTCCTCAAATCCCCCGACGGCACTGTGGAAGTTTAGGAAGATGTGTGTCAGCCGCAGAGATGCGCTGGAAACCGCCTCAGGAGCTGGCAAATCCATAGTGTTTTTCCTGGAACTAAAATGTTTGAACTTTTGTCTCTTTGGAGACATGTTTCCCAAGAAAAGTTTCAGACTTTTATTTTACTGTATACATAATTGGAACTTAAGGTTTTATTTGCGGGGAGATATTTTATACAACGTATCATTCTTTTGTGATTCTGTTGGCATTTTGGCAGTTATCTGAGGTTATGATTCAGCACCCCAGATGGTCTCTGTTCGGTAGCCCCAGATCAGGGGAGCGTACCATGTGTGCTCGAAGTGTATGGCCAGTGTTTAAGTTTGAAACAGTTATTACAATGAAGGAGACTGCCGTCACCTCTCCTATACTCCCCTCGCTTTGAGCACACCCATCCCATTGTCCTTGACACCTTCTGCAGTGGGTCCGGAGTCCTCTTTCCCAAGGGTCTTTATGACCAAAAACCCAGTGAACACGGATGCCGTGTGCCATCCAACAGAAAGGCAGCTCCTAACAGCATGAGGCTGGGTCCTCACCCGCCTTATTCACGGGATCGGGCACTGTGCAGCTTCTGGCTCTTCCCCAAAGTCAAAATAACTGTGGAGGGGAATGTTTTGAGTCGATTCAGGACATCGAGGCAGCCGGGACAGTGCAGTTTAAGACAGGAAAGAGGCCTTGCAGAACCGCTTCACAAAGTGGCGGGGGTGATGGGATGGATGTGTTTGAAGCTGGGGGAGGTTTTTGTGGGACCTCGTGGCAATGCGTCTTTGAATTCTGTAAATGTGCACATTCTCTGTGACTTTTGATCACAGCACATACACAGTAGGGTTGTGCGAGGCACTGGGAACAATACATAGGGCCTGCCTCCGCTTCCCATACCTGCGAACGTCCTCCGGCTCGGCTCCGCCGTCACGTGCCCTCCTGGAGTGGTCTCTGTGTGGTGAGAGCGGCAGAGCTGTGCTTGCCCCACGATGAGGAAGTGCAGGCAGCATGGAGGCTCAGGGGTGTTTCTGGATCTCTTACACCACTGAGACCCTCTTTTGCCTCCCTCCCCGTGTGGGCTGGAGTCCACTGCCTGGCTTCAGTGCCTCTGCATCTGGGCACCCCCTGGAAACCCCAGGGCATCAGACACAGAAGCCCGGGCTGGTGTTGAGCGAGAGGCCCACATCTCATTGATGCTTCAGTGCTGCCCAGGGGAAAGTGGAGGTGCGGTGCCTCGGGCTCTGGGCTGTGGTGCCTCGGAGGTGGTGGTGCCCTGTCTGACCCGGCTGCCCTGGGGGACGTCCTTGGTCTGCAGCATGTGCTGGGCTCCTGTGCCTGGTGAGGAGCCTGGGGTCAGTCTACCTCCCTCGGCACACAGTGGTGACCCCAGCCCCACAACGGGAGGCCGGATGTAGGGTTCTCAGACTTCCTCCACACCAGCGGGGCTGAGCCTTTCTCTCCGGGGCGTCTCCACTAGAAGGGTTTAGCGGAATAGACCCAAGACAGGAGGAGAGTGGTAGTGAGAGCACCGAAGGAGGGAGCCCTGTTGGCGTCTCTGTCACTGTTCTGAGTGGACCAGGATGGGAAATCCCCAGAGCTTCGCCCTGGCCTGGCCTCCCCTCCGCCTCCTCTCTGGGTGACACTGATGACAGCGGGGCCCGAACTGCCCTCCGTAGGAGCTGAGGGTTTGCTTGATGGGTCCTTTCTGCCTCCTCGTTCCCTGAGGTCTCCACTGACAGGGGAGACAGTCTGGGGGGCTGCTGCCTCTGAGGTTGGGCTGACCCCCTTCCCGCCAGGTGTGGAGTTAGCAGTGCTGTTTCTGCCCTAGCCCCTCGGCCACCTACAGGAGACACAACGCCTGGGAGGAAGCCAGGCACTGCAGCGTTCTGCTGTAGGGCAGTAAGGGAAGGGGTGACTCAGTTCTTAGGGCCCGGCCAGGACCCGCAGCCCCAACTCTGTGGAGCTCAGATTTGAGGCAGAGTCTGGAGGAGGAGCAGAGGGAGGAGGAGAGGGCCAGGAACCTTTAGCTGCAAGAGTGTGTGCATGTGCTGGGTGTGTGTGTGTGTTTGTGTGTGTGTGTGTGTACCACAGAGAAGGCCAGTGCATTCTTTCTCCACTGAGGATTTTTGCTGCTCTGACTGAGCTTTGTCGATCTGGGAGAATTGTAGAATTTGGAGGTTGCAGTGAAATTTTTCACTATCCAACCATGGGACCAGCCAGTCCAGGCGCTGGCAGGACATTTGCCGTGGGAAATACTGTCGTCATTAGCATCATTGTTGCTCAGCAGCATCGGCATGCGGTCCCGGCTGGCAGCAGTGGCGCCTCTGCTGGTGTGGTTCTGCATGTGCTGCAGCCCACAGCCCTGAGGGCCTGCTCTGCTGGGCAGCACCGGCCTGCTGCTCAATCTGGCTGTTGTTGGCTGAAACAAGAGAACCAGCTAATCCTCGTTCCCAGAGTGACAAGAATTTGTCCTAGAATTCTGACTCATTCGGTGGTTACCAGGATTCCTGGGCTTTTTGGTAACGGCTTGTCCTCAGCCCTTGGACGCACAGAGGAGCTCTTTGCAGGGCTGCCTGCTGCTCTGCACAGCGCTCCGCTGCTCCTGGCAGTTAGGCATTCATGTGTCTGTTTGTCCCTCCACTCGGAAGCGGGAAGGGCTGCCACACCGGCTCCAGCCAGTCTCAGCCAGGATCCCTTCCCGATAGCCGAATTAGGGAGGAGGCCCGCAGAGCTGCCGCTAAACTTGCTTTTGTGGGTTTCAGCGCAGCATCCTGAGCAGAGGCTCCAGCTCCTGCTCAATCTGCCTTGGTTTTCTGGGAACCCTCACTGTGGTGTGAACTTTTACCGGCATGGGTTGTGCTGAAGAAGGAACATCTGAATGCGCATCTACCCTTGGGACTTGGCCCCGGGGCCAGCGCTCTGCTGTTCAGGGAGAAACTTCTGGAATAAAGAGAGCTGCACCTCCGCATGCCCTCGGAGGAGGGAGGGTCCTCCGCATCCCCCGCTCGCACTGAGGGACTGCAGGGAGGTGTCTTCCACCGAGGGCACATCTGCACGTGGGACATGGCCAAGGGGATCCCACAAGCTGGCCCTCGGGCCCCTTCTCTGAGGTTCCTTCCTGTGCTGACGGAGCAGTTCTTGGGGACCAGTTATTGTCCTGGGCTACTCGGGGCTTCAGGGCCAGCCTGGACCACATGGCAAGACCCTGTCTCAGAAGACCAGAAGAGGCTTGAGTTAAATCTCTACTGTGGTCTATAAAACCTCCACAGAGTCGCCAAGCCTTCTTCTTCGACAGAATTGGGAGAGTCTGTTCATAAGCAAAAATACAAATAGATCATCCAATTAAACAATTTTTTTTTACCATGAAATGAAGTAGAGCCAAAATGTAATAAGGATGAATATATTTCCTCCTGAGTTTTAATTGTTAAAGAGAATATTGCTGTAGGATGATTAATTTTTTAAAAATTATGTAAACAGGCAAAACTATCAAAAAAGGAAATCGGGTAACTTGATGATAGCTGTGTCTGAGTGCCTAGGAACCGATTTTCAAAAACTCGAGTTCAGAACTGTTTGTACGACATTAAAGAAACTGGTTTCTCTGTCCCTGAATACACCATGGACGGCGTCTTTTCTTGTGTGGTCAGTGTGTGCACTCTAAGCATGTTTCTCTAACGAGGTCTGAAAGCCTTCAGGCCCAAGACAGCTGACCTCTCCTTGCCTTCAGATCCCCAGGTACATCATCACGCTGCATGAGCTCCTGGCCCACACACCCCACGGGCACGTGGAGAGGAAGAGCCTGCAGTTTGCTAAATCGAAACTGGAGGAGCTGTCCAGGTATGCGGGGAGCCCTCGAGGAGGGCTGGCGGGGGTGGGGGGATTGTGCAGTGCACATCCAGGGAGCACGTACTCCAAGACTCACCTTGTAGCTCTGCAGGCTCGTGCTGTGGTTCTGAATCATCACTGTCAGCAATTTTAACCAAGAAAACAATATCCCTGGGAAAGCTTTTATGCCAGGTAAATTTATGTGACTGAGATTCGGTGTATTTTGGTTTAAGTTTGGAAGCATTCGCTTTTATTTTCTCAGCATCACTGAAAAATGACTTTCAATTAAAATTCTGTACAGTGGACCCTTGACTTATGAACTCAGTTCGTTCCCGAGGGCTGTTTGTAACCCAAGTTGGTCAGCTGGGGCTCAGGCTCCTCTACACAACCTTCAAAATCTCTCTCCTGCACACAGGCCGATCTCAGTGACCCTAGAGAGACCCTGGCCCAGGCTTTCTCAGTGAACCCCGCACAGGAGAGCGTGCTGTCATGTTCCTTCCAGAACTCTGTCAGAGTTCAGTCTGAATCTGAGACTGTCTGGAAGCACAGTGTCTGGCATTTGGGTCACAACTCAAGACTTCCTTAGTAAGTTAAAACTAAAGTTCCAGTTGCAACCCAAGTTGTTGGTGTGTTGGTCCAGTTGTAACTCAAGGGTCCACAGTACTCAGATTTGATGAAAAGCCAGAGAAGGTAGTTGGCATTTCTCAGTGATTTTTCACAGCTCCAGGCACCCTGGTTCATACGGCATTTAGTTTGTATGTGGGGATCTTGTGGCCGTGTGCGGCACGGCTAACCTCTCCTCCACGTCGTGCGCAGGGTGATGCATGACGAAGTGAGCGACACCGAGAACATTCGGAAGAACCTGGCCATCGAGCGGATGATCGTGGAGGGCTGCGACATCCTGCTGGACACCAGCCAGACCTTCATCCGCCAAGGTGAGTCTGCAGGCCCGGCTGCCAGTTTGTCCCATGTCTCTGGCAGCGGCGACTGGCTTTCCAGAGCAGGCCCGGCTGCCTGTGCGAGGGCCACACTGCTGCAGTCCCTGCCGAGGGCTTGGGCCGGCTGCAGTTGAGGCCTCTCTGTGCTGTTTCTTTCCAGGGCCCGTGAAAAACAGCAGCACAATAGTAGTGAGGTGTGCGTGTGCAGGTGGCACGCACGCTGGCTGGACCGTGCTCCTCAGTGGACCCGATGTTCTCTACAGCCCCGAGGAGGACGCTCCGGGCTGGCCCCGTGGCGTGGCAGTGCCAGGTGGGGGCGATGTCCAGGCCAGCACCCAAGAGAAACTAGCATTCCTCAAAGCCCTGTCACACAGGAGTGGGGACAATGTCCGGAGCGAAAGCAGCTGTTTCCTGTTTCCATTTTTCATCGGGACTTCGGGGCCTGCCCGACCTGGTAGTGTGTGATCTGCTGATAACCCGATTACAAGGTGGCTTTGCTCTCCGTGGACCCCCGCTGTGCTGTGCTGATGGCCGGCATGTCTGTGACGTGTACTTTGGTCGACTCCCCGCAGAGCGAGCTTTGGAGGAGTCGAAGATGTTTATGTGCAGAAACTGGAGAAGAGGCGCGGGCAGCGCGGTTCCTCTTCAGCTCTGACTGAAGGGGGCCAGGGTCAGCTGCACCCCAAGTTATTTTTCAGGGTGTAGGGACATCGGGGGAGGAAGCAGGCTCCATGCCATGGATCAAGTAATCCATACAGTGCACTGCAAGCACGGATCAGTTTGAGCTTGGTGAGGAGCGGAAGCTAAGTTTGGAACTCTGATTAATCGTCAGTGCGGTTCCTGCTTACGAAGGGCCTGCCACGTTTGAAGACCTGTGCATTGCCGCTGCCTGCCACATTGTGCTGTGTAACGTCTTTTTCTCAACCTCTTCAAGCAAGACTTTAGGGTGTGCATTCGTTTTGCAAAGGATGCTTGAAGACTTTCATGCATGCCATTCTGTTTTCTGTTATTTGCAAGGAGTGAAGTTGCACATGTTAAAGTTTAGAAGAGTATTTTAGAAAATGATTCCTCTTCCCATCTTTCTTTGGATGATTATGGAATGCAGTGCGGACGGCATCAGGCCTGTGTTTGTCCCCTGTAGCCCCCTTACTTCCTGCTCACGTCTGTGCCTTTCCCACTGTCCTGTTTCCGTGCTCTTTTGTGTCATCATCCAGGCCCAGGTCAGACACCGGGATAAGGAGTTGCCTTCCTCTCTGTGTCCCAGGCCTGGTGTGTGTGCTTGTCCTTGTGGTGTAGCTCTGGTCTGCACGCCTCTCTCTCCCTGTGAGTGACTGTAAACCCCAAAGAGCAGTGTTTGTGAATTCTCTCTGCCTCACCTCGTCGATTAAACACTTGACATTGTAGCTACTGGAAAAGAGGCATTGAACCAAATTGGATTGATAAGATATTGGAGAGATATTTTATACTTCTCTTGTGTTTGGAGTTGACCAAAAATGCCTACTAATTGACCTGTGCTTTTGAAAATGTGAGAATGGAAACCAAGGTTTCCAGAGCCGCCGTACCATTTGCACAAGGGCTGTGAGACACGAGTGAGTACACCTAACGCTGACTGTATTGCTAAAAGCTTGGGCTGTGTGGATGTGGGTTTGAAAAAGTACCAGTGATGAAAAGTGCCACCAGGTAAATATGTTGAATAAGTTGTATTTATGCACTGCACATAGAGAAAAAATTGTGCACCCTTCTCCCCATGGTCAGATCCACATTGTTGCTTCTTGTTTCCTACTGTGTATTTGAGGTGCCCCTGTCAGCTGCTACTGTTTCTGATGTTGCCACTGTGCCAGTGACGGTTGCTTTTCAGCAGTATTTTCCTGCTTATAATAAAAGCGGTTTCTAAGTGTCAGACCTTGATCTGGAAGTGGGGTGGAGCAGATCACGGCAGGCAGCTGGGAGGGTTCTCTTTGCTCTGCTTTGGTCTGTCCTGTCACGGCTTTTACTAAATCCCCTTAGCTGTTGGTCCTAAAGAGTCATGAGGGTGCTTGGAAAAATTATTACCCTTTAAAACTTTGAGAAGTCTATTTCCTCTAAAATGTAGCATGATTTATTTATTTACTTCTAGTGGCTTGCTGGTGCTGGTGTTGACTAATTTTCCGAATGGTAGAAGGTCTACTTCAGTGTGTGTATGTGTGTGTGTGTGTGTGTGTGTGTGTCTTTGCGTGTTTCTGTACACAATTTCAAGCCTGTATGAACTTTTATTCTGAGAACTAGAAACTTTAGTCATCCAGCTCATGTTGAAGGTTGTCTCAGGGTAAGGGCGTCAGCCTCTCTCCAGCGGTATTGGGTGGGGAGGTGGAGACAGGAATCATTGTTTTATTGTAAATGATTCCCATCTTTAGATAGCAAAGTTTGATGCACGGGAGGTGAAAGAGTGTATGAGAGCAGCGGTCAAATACTGCCATTTGCTTTCCAGAATCTAACAACACAGTTGGTTGAATAAATGTGAGGGTGGAGGCGGTCTCAGGGCCTCAGTAGCCACGTCCCTGGAGGTCAAACCCAGCCCCCATTCCCTGGCTGTGCGATGTTGGATGATGTTTCCTCTCCTCACACTGGATTAATAGCAGTGCCTGTCTTTACGATTGTATTGAAGATTAAGTGAGCTAATGCCCAGAAACAGCACTCAACTCGAGCCTGTGAGATTATGACAGTCACCTAAAAATGAAGATCCAAGGTTTAGAACAGCTTTCTACTCCCAACAGCATGAAGTATACACGAGACTTCGTTGGAAGATAAAGGCACGACGGTAAGGTGACATTTTCCACAAACCCGTTGTGCATTGGCAACGTTGTCTTTGTGGAACTGTGACTCAGGAAGATTAAAGGCGAATGAAGACAGAGTAGAATGCTTGAGAATGAGATGTGGATTTCCCTGGCTCCTTCATTATTCGCAGGCTCAAGGCCACGCGCCTCCCCTGGACCGCTGGTTTGGAGACTGTAACCCGGTCCCGGGAACAGTTTAACTTTCTCAATGCCTGTCCCAAGAACCTGGATGTTGTTCTTCGTGTGTGCCCACTGCAGGGTGGAAGTGAGAACCGAGCGCTCGCCAGTCCCACGTGGCCTGCGTGTGCGTCTCAAGGGAGCGATCACAGAAGCCTTGCTGTGAGGCGACCCCGTGGCTGAGCGGACGGATGTTGGGGAGCTGCGCACTGAGCATTCCTGAGTGACACTGGGTGGTTACTCATTTCTGTACTGCTTATTTCTTTAATTTGTGTTAACTTCCTTCAAGTCTCCAGGCTGTGTTGGAATCTCGTGGAGACCATGTTCAGTGAAATAAATTAGACACAGACACTTAAATGTCACACGGTTCCTCTTATATGAAAAACCCTGAGCAAAGTAAAAGGTAGACAGCAAGAAGTAGGGAGACAGGGGTTGTCACATGGGGAGGGGACGAGGAAAGGGGTGGAGTTGACAGTGTGTGTACTGACTCCACACAAGGATGGGACAGGGTCTGGAAATCGCTTATGTTTGATTACAAACTGTAAGCTGAAATGTGGGGAAAGAATCTGCCTACGATACTTTGTCTACGAATCTTGTTTATAAACCAAGCCCTGTTGGCTTTTCCCTGTTTTGGTCCAGATGCATAGGTTTCTTTCCATGCCGCTGGCTCAGAGCAGAAGTGAGCGGTGGTGGAGGAGAGCCTGTTGATGTACGGTTGCCAGGGAAACGTTTATTTTATTTTTTATTTTTTTACTTCAGAGCTGAACTTCACATAATTGCTAATCTGTGAGCTAACAGTGTATTCTGTCACTTCTGACTTGGAAGTCACTAAATTGCTAGGAGCCTTTCCTAAGGAGCACATTGCTATTGTGCCTTCACAGCCTTGGTTAGAGCCGCTCGGAAACGCCTCCCAGCACCCATGTCCCTGGGCCCTCACCCCCGTGCCACGCTGGTTCACACGGAGCCCGGCAGAGCCGTCATTGCTGCTGTTTCCTGTTGTCCCTTTCCAGGGCTTGGTGTCTGTGTTGCTGGATCCACTGCTGTCCCCGACTGTGCCCCTCACTTAGATGTGACCTTGGGAGAGCTGCTTAGCCTGGGCCCCAGTTTCCCCACCTATAAAATGTGTTGTGGGAGGGTTGACCCAGGCCCTGTGGGGCTTCTCTAGTTTTCATTTGGTCCCCAAGGGACCCATGGGCCCACCCTTTTGCCCAGTGACTTCTTCTCCTTCCTCTCCTTCCCTACCCTTCCGCTCCACCGCCAGAGTGCTTCTACTTTGCAGATTTCATTTCTGCCCATCCTCCTCTGGGCTTGCCCCGCCCAGCCCACCTTCACTGCGCCTCTTGCTCAGTCCCTCTCCTGGAGCAGAACCTTCTCCTGGACCTTTGTTGCCCCAGCCCACTGCTTTGCCCAGGACTCGTTCCTCCACATTTTTTAGGCCCAGAGTGGCTGCCCACTCCCAGTCTTCACGCATCCCACCTCATCACTCGCCGAAAGAGAAGGTGTGAGATCAGGGCATGGAGCTTGGGTCCTTTGCCACCCTGCACATTTCTGTTAAGAAGGAGATGCAATTTGGAAGACTCCTATGGTAATATGCAGATTTTGTGACTCATAATCATGGTTTTACTGCCTTTGTGTGTATGTTCGTTATATGAAGAACATTAGTGCTTATTTCCACTCAGAGAAATAATCTGTTCATTAAAAAATGTCAAGAGGGGCCAGGGATTTGGTTCAGTGGTTTAGCCGCCTATCTCACAAGCACAAGGGCCCGAGTTTGATCCCTGGTACCAAAAAAAAAAAAAAAAACCCAAAAACAAACAAACAAAAAAAAGGTCAAGAAACTCAGAGAAGATGTGAAGAGAAAATCGAGATTGCTGTCTCTTCTCCTCTTGTTCAGCACCATGGTTGATGATTAAGGGTTCAGTATGCACTGAGCTCTCGAGGTGACCGGAGCCTGTGCAGGGCTGTGCGGGGCAGGTGACGCGATGCCACTCTGAGAACCACTGCCACTCAGGGACTTCAGGAGCCTGGCCCGGGTGCTTGCAAGAGTTGTTCTTGGTACTCCTTGCTTTGCTATTCAACTTAAACCAGAATTTTCTTTTCAGGTGGGGGAGGTAGGTCTCTATTAGGTCGCAATTAGAAACAATCAGAGGTGACCTCACGATTACATAACGTCTGTGCATTGCTCCTCCTGTTGTATGGGAGACAGTTTTGCTCCTGGGGCCCTGGGTCTAGATTTTATGTGGTTTATTTTCCATTTAGAGTCCACAACATTTTTTTCCGCACTTAATATAAATGCAAATTGAAATAGCTGCCCTTTAAAGAATAGTCCTTAACAAAATTACATTGAATTACCTAAGTTATTTATTTTTATAATACACATGTATTGTACATTCTGTCTTGAAAGCACAAAGCAAACTAGACTCATTTGCTGTTTATCCACTTCCAGTGATTCAGGAAGAATGAATGCTGCAGGCTTTTGCCCTGTGGTTGTGTTGCCACGTGTGGCTGTGCGGCTGGCACGGTGGGTGGCACCAGCAGCAGATCAACTGGGGCCACATCGACAACGACAGAAGCCCAAGTGCCTTGTTCTCGGCATTCAGTTTGAGTTCCTTTCAAGTTTATGTTCCAGTTGATAGATGATGAGTCTGGTCTAAGGTGTTTTGCAGGAATATTAGAGACAATTACACCCTTCAGGTAGAATGCACTGTTTATTCTGCCCGGAAGGTCGATTTCCTGGTTCTGACGGTGGATGCAGTCCAACCTTGGTATCTTGGGAAACGGGCCCTTGTGTTTATTTATCACCAAGGGCACAGCCCTCCCTTGGCAGGATTTTAATTGCTGTGCATTCTTCTCTTTTGCAACCTCCAGGTTCTCTTATTCAAGTACCTTCCGTCGAGAGAGGGAAACTTAGTAAAGTCCGCCTGGGTTCACTGTCTTTGAAAAAGGAAGGAGAGAGACAGTGCTTCCTGTTTACAAAACACTTTTTAATCTGTACGAGAAGCTCAGGAGGAAAGCTGCATCTGCTGAAGGTACGGGTCTTCCTTGCCATCCCGCCAATGTCCCCGCATGTAGAAGGGACTGTGACTTTCCCACATGACTGCTGTCAGAGACTCGATTGTCACAACTGCTTAAACGGGGGTAGTTAGTGCACAGGAAACAGCCCATGTACGTTGATTTTATTTCCACCTGGCTTCAGAGTAACGGAAATTTATTTTAGTGACGAATTATCAGAAGGTGGTGTTATTAAAATCATAACCTGGACAAAATTATTACTAGTTTGACAGCGGCTGAGCTGCAGAATCTTGGCAAATCACTGCAGTGAACTGATGTAAAATTTGCCAACTGCTGTTTTATCTGGGGCCCTGCAGCTTGCTGCTTGTTTTGTTGATGAAGTTTTATTGGAATGACCACACTCACTTGTTTACCAATTCTTCTGTCTGCTTGTGTGGCAATATGGCAGATTTAACTATAGAAATGATACGGCTTGCAAAGCCTAAAGTATTTACCTCTGGCCCATTTACAGGAAACGGTGGGCTGTCCATTCCTGCTGGTATGATTACTTAAAAATACAAAGCCGTGGTGATGTTTTCCACTGTCTGAACCACTTTCTGGTTGGCAGGTCCAGCACTGAAGTCACTACGGTGTCATCTAATCTCTCCTGAGTGGAGCCACCCAATTGTATAGATATGGAGAGCAGGCACAGAGTGGAGGAGAAAGTTTAATTGGTGTGAAATGAATTCAGTTTATTTGGCACATCCAAATTTCACTGTGGACGCCCAGAAGTTATTTGTGGTATAGATCTGCCGAGCCTTTGTCCATAGCCACTGAAATACGTATAGGTTGTGAAAATCAGAGCTGCCCAGCCCAGCCTTGGCCTTCAGCCCCTCACCGATGAATCGCTTTGTCTCCAGACAGGTGGGGTTCTCTCGCTCGTGGAGTGCACACTGATCGAGGAGCCCGATGCCAGTGATGATGATGGTGAGCCACTTTCTGTCGCCAGCTGTCAGGATGGGACGAAGCATTAGTTCTATGGTTTTAATCTCTCGTAGTTAAGAGGCGCTGCAGAGGGCAGCAAGAGAGGTGTTGAGGATCGCCCCTAGGCACTCCTCAGGGGACCCTTGGGCCGGGAGCTTTGTTAAAACCTCCGGGCGCTGAGCAGTCTCCCAAGCTTGTCTCACAGTAGTGAGATGTTAGTGGTAGGTAGAGAAGAAAGAGTAGAAGGAAGTGTTGGATTTGGGGCTGGGGTACAGTTCAGGGGCAGAACGCCTTGCCTTGCATGCAGGAAGCTCCAGGACCCACTCTCAGCACTGTAAACTGAGTTGAATTTTGTACATTCTGGAAATTACACATGAAGTAGGCCACATAACTTACTGTGCCAGCTGCTGTGAGTTCCGTAAGATTCTGTGATGCCCCAGCTGTCTGCAGTGAGTGTGATCACTGTGCACTGCACGAGTGTACTTGTGCAAATACACTTAAAAAGCAACGAGGCCTTCTCATCCAGAGAAGCGGTGTCACCACCGGTACGAGGTTCTGGACTGGGCTTGCCGGAGCAGCCGTGGTGCCCGCTTGTGCACGGGTCTAACTGCCGGGTTCCTGCACCTTGCAGCCAGGGGCTCCGCGCAGATGTTCGGGCACCTGGACTTCAAGATCGCCGTGGAGCCTGCCCACGCCGCCCCCTTCACCGTGGTCCTGCTGGCCCCCTCTCGCCAGGAGAAGGCGGCCTGGATGAGCGACATCAGCCAGGTAAGCAGGGGCCCCAGCCTGCGTGTTTTTAAAATTTCACAACATACACATTTGGTGGGAACTTTCAGAGATATTTTAATTCAAAATGTATACATGTGAGTAAGTAAAATGTGGCGTATACACAGTTCAGAGCTAGTTAGCCACGGAGAAGGGTAGATTTGAGTCATTGGTGGGGAGATGGATTTGAGACCATCAGGTAAATGGAGTAAATCAGACACAGAGAGAACAGCACGTGGCTTCTCTCATGTGAGAAAGCCCAAATGTAAGTGATTTAAGGGCAAAGTAAAAGAGAGATGGTAGGGAATGTGGAGGTGGACTTTGAAGGTGAAAAGGGGCCTTGGGGAAGGGAAATACAAAGCGTCAGGATGCAGTATGTCTGTGTACCGGCGCCCGAGATGTATGTGGTCATCACGTGGTTATCATGCAGACTAACAATGAAAATCCACCTCCGTGCCGCGGTCACCGCCGTCACCACCGCTTATCTTCACAGGTCGTCCCTGTCATCGTCGTCATCCTGTTTTCTCAGGGCTCGCTTTCACCTGAAATGCAGGGATTGCATTTTAGCTCCTGGGCATTTTGTGCGCGCTGCAGATGTCACAGCTGTGTCAGACTGGCTTGAAATTGTCCTGTTCTGATAAATTCTCCAATGGCTCCATTTGATTATTGGTTGTTTCTCAAGTAGGAAAATGATGAATGATTTAAAAAAAACAGAATAGACAAACAAAAACGCACCCAGCCAGGGCTGTGGCGAGAGGTGCCACACTAAGGGACGAGAAGAGGTCTGCCTGTAAAATAAAATCTGAAGCCCAGCTCTTGCATTTTATGAAGTAAAAGTTGGGGGTCAGAACTGCTTGCCTTTCCTGGGTCAGCAGCGCTGTTTGGAGACATGCCACACTGGGCTTGAGCTCGCTGAATTCAGACAGCTCCATTTCCTAATATGCTGGGCAAAGTGAGTCTGTGTAAGGAACGTTTTAACGTGAGGCTTCAGGTGCATGCCGTGGCTCATATCTTAGCCACAGCTGCTCTGGAGGCTGAAGCAGGAGGATCCCTCCAGCCTAGGAGTTTGCTGCTGGCCTGGGTAACACAGTCCCTGTCTCAAAAACTAAAAGTAAGTCTTAAGTTATCACCTGTTTTAGTTACTTTCTTCTTGCTGGGACAAAACACCCGACACCTACCACTTGAAGAGAAGTTGATTTTGGCTCATGGTGTTTTAGTCCATTGTCTGGTTCCAAGGCAGGGAGGCAATGGTGGAAAGGATTGGTGGAGGGGGGGCTCACATCATGGCAGCCAGGAAGAGAGACCGAAGGGAGGAGCCAGCGGAAGCTCAGTTGGTCCTCCAACCTGGACCTCCTCTTAGGAGCTCACCACTCAGCTTCTCAAGGGATGAATCCCTGTGAATATAGCAGGCTCACGAGCCAATCACCCTCCAAAAGCCCCGCCTCTGAGCACAGGAGAGTTTGGGGGACATCCTAGATCTAAACCTTAATAACGTCTTCCAGAGTTATTACTTGGGACACTTGGGGCAACTGCAAAAGGTAGACATTGTGGGTTTCCTTGCTTTATTTCTTTTTTCAGAAGACCATATAGTAGTGAGCCTTATGTACCCCACCATCATTCTTCACATAGATTTCTTTTTTTGAGAGAGTGAAAAGTGAGGGGAAAATAGAGAGAGAAGTGCTACTAGTCCCGTTGCACAGGTGAGAACCCAAGGTCTTGAAAATGAGGCATTTGCCAAAAGGTACACAGCTGGTCCAAGGCAGGACTGCCATCTAATCCAGGGCTCCTTTTTAGTTCTGCGTAAGAGTGCCATATGCAGAGCTTTCACTTGCATAACCCAAGGACTGAATAAATAGCTGGCTGAAAAAGAATGAAACTGTGGGCTGTTTCGTAAGTCTGTGTGCATACCTGCACCCTCATGGTGACTTCTTAATAACACTCCTCTTAGCTCTGCGCTGCATCAGCTGAGAGCTCAGGAGTGTTTCCTTGCTCGCAATGCATCTCTTGCCTTATGAAGCTCTGGATCCTATGTTGACTGTGATCATCTGTTAAGACCTCTCACCACATGCTTTTGGGCTCTGTAGGTGCGGGGCTGGCTGCTGCTCCCCAGGAGATGAGCTGGCTTGCAGGGAAGGAGAGAGGAAGCAGCTCCGTGCAACAAGATTCGTAGGTGTTGTGAAGCCAAGACATGCAGGAAGAACAGGAAGAGGAGGAGTAGGCAAAGGTGTTTGTCCAGCTCCTGCTACCTCCTGCTTAGGATGTTGCTGAGGGGCCTGGAGTTGGCGAACTGTGGCCTCTGCCAGGCTGCCTGTGGGGTATGGTCGGAAGACCCCTAGAGTGCATGGATGACTCCATGCGGGCCTTGGCAGGAGAAGAGCCCCAAGCTTTGTCTGCCACAAGCATCCTCCCCTTTGTTTAGATTCCAGTTCGGGAAGTGTTCACCTTCCTCCTTATTTCCCCGAGTTGCTATGGCCAGTGTGCTGCTTAGCCAAAAATTATGCTTGATTTCGTCTGCAGAGGAAGGAAGCTAACAGGATGTTGTATCTCTCAGAGAGGCTGTGAGACCCTCACAGGATGGTACATGGGACCGTACATGGTACGGTACATGGAAGGCTCAACAGCCTTCCACTGTGTGGCTTTGGACTCTGTGGTTTTCATTTAACAAACGTATTTATGAGTACATTGTGCCTGTCACTGTTCTAGGGACTCGTGATCCGTCCTGGGCAAAAGAGTCACCAGCCGTGAATTCCCAGACCTTCTGCCACTTAAATTCGAATGTGGGGAAGGCCTCACACATACAGGCAGTGTGGTACCCGAGTTCGTGCTGGGCAGGGAGGGGCTGTACTGCTGGGCTCAGTGAGGCTCGGTATGGCGGCCAGGTCACTCTGGAGACTTTTAAACAAAGACCCCATGGGGCAGTGGGACCCCACGTGCACGTGTGAAGAGAGGACAGTCTTCCCAGAGTGAGAAAGCAGCAACACTAAAGATCCCGGAGCGAGAGAAAGCTGCATGTTTTGAAGAATTCCACGTGAGCCAGTGTGGCCGAAGTGGAGTAGGAGAGGGACGACAGAAATATCGGGGTAACTGGGCACACTGGGGGCTCGGTGATCCACACCCGTGACGGGGCTGTTCTCACACTGAGTTAGCTTTCACTTGAAGCTGTTAAGGATTGGAGGGGAAGAATCTGTGCTGAAGCCAGGCTCGGAAGGGTCCCTTTTGCTGCCATGAGGGGGTGGAGAAGGGGTGGATGCAGCGGTGGGTTACCTGGGCAGTCCCCGGGGAGACAGGTGTGGGGACACCGACCGGCATGGTGGCATTGGGGCCAAGAAGGCTGCTGGGTCCGGTTCAGGCTGAAGGAAGAGCGAGCAGGGCTGTGTTATGAACAGGGTCCAGGCTGGGAGAGGAAAAGGGAGTCAAGGACAGCAGCAGGGTCTTCACCCTGAACTCTTGCAGGAAGGGGGCGGTCTGCTGGAGACAGAGATTTGAGGATCTGTTTACTCAGTTTGTGTAGCGATTGCTTATGCATTCTGGAAATTGTCGGACTCTCGAGTTATCTCTGGACATACTTACTATTAATGGGATGCACCTACTGAACACTTAATGTACTGTTTAATATTTTATCGGGCAGACAGAAAATATGGATGCGAAAATGAAGTAGAGCACATCCCAGCACCCACCACACTAAAACATTTCCCGAAGAATTTCCTGCAGGTGACGTGAGTTCTGAACCTGCTCTGTGGTGTCGTTCCAGCCTGCACAAGCTTAAGGAGCCCTGCAGGTCCCCGCAGGTACAGAACCGCTGCCCTAAAGGCGGGGCCATCTCCACCCCCGGTCTCCCACCATCGGGTCACACAGAAATGACTTTACAGTTTGGCTCTTTGTACATGCAAATGACACTTTTTAACCCCATTTTCTTCTTTCTATTTTCCCACACATTTTTCGTTTTGGTTTCTTCTAGTAAATTGTGTATGTGTCTGTATGCACGTATGTGTACTTACACATGTACATCCTGCTGTATTACTTACCATTTTGTAGCTTGTTTGGAGTCATTGGGCACTGAACATATAGCTGCTTCCTGGTGTGAGGATTAATACGCAATGTGGTGCTGCTACACAGCTTTGGGCAGGAGTTTGTGCCCTTCCCTAGCTGGTGTGTACTCCTAGTGAGTGCACCAATGGCCTCGAGGGGACCGTCACCACCCGAGTGATTCTGTGATCCATGACTTGCCTGACTGCTACAGGAAAAATAGAACTCCACTGCGTTGTACCTAAGGTGTCGGGGTGACTTTCTTCTAAGTCCTGCCGCAGCTGATTTACATTATAGTCACCACATTTTCCTATTGGAAAAATGGTTTTGCAGCCTTCTAGCAGTTTTAATTTACGTTTCTGCGATTGCCAATGACATTAACATTTCCCACTATTTCTGTTTTGTGTCTGTTTACACCAGATGGACATTAAATCATGGGAGTGATTCGTATAGACTAAGAAAATGAACATTCTCTTTCAATTCCAATTGTGAATGTGCTCTCCATTATTTTGTCTTTTAAGTATTTTGTCAATTTTTATTTTTCTAAACCTTACATTTTCTGTGGCTTGATTTGAAGCCACATTGCCAAGCTATTGTACCATGTTTTGCTGAACACATGTAGTTCTTATTTAAGATAATAAACTGCTTCCCAAGCATCAGTATGATCCTGGCTTCACATAGGGAACTCTACAAAATTTAGGACTCTTGGTTTTGCCAAGTCTTTCTCTCTGGAGCTGTAATTTTAAGTGGGAGCAGTTGCTTGAATGATTAATTACACCTTTAGTTGTACTAGTAAGGGCCATAATTAACTGTTGGCGCCTCCAGCAAAGCATGCAAGGAGCTAATGGTCTCAACCAATAATCCTCCCCCTTTTACCTATTTATAGGGAGAGATCTAAGGCTGAACATTGGACCATTTCAGTACAGTGCGTTCATTTGTGCTTGTCTCACTTGTCATGGATTTGGCCATAATTATGA